GACTCAACCTGACTCAGCTCACACTTCCTGTCTTCGAGATCGAGTTCGTGCTGCTCTGGCCCCTGTGCAGGGCCCTGTTCGTTTTTTAGATTTGGCTGGGGATCCCCCTGCTGCTCACGCATCGGGAACTTCTGTGTCCACTTTTTCGCCTACTCCTTTGCAGTCTTTGAACCAAAATGTGCAGGACATCCGGGAGTATGACATGGACACTACGGACACAAGCACAACTCCAGCAAACCAAGCACAGCAACAACAACAGGAGTTTAGCACGACAGAACAACAAGCAGATGAGACAACAGAAACAGCGACAGGCAAGCAGGAAGAAAAGCAAGCGCATGAGAGCAACAGACAACATACAGTGGCAGCAGCAGAAGCAACAGCAGAGAGACGTGAGAGATCTCGCAGTCCTCCTCCAAAGGATGAACAGCATCAACGATTTGAGCAAGTGAGTCAAGCAAGTGCACTGAACTCCTACAACCAGGCACGGCAACTTGATGGACTACAACCAGTGTCACCTGAGAATCCACAATTCCTGCAGCACTACAGCAACATGACTGGTGTAGATCAACCTGATGATGCACTTGCCACTGAAACATTCAGTGAGAAATACTTGTCACCTGAGGAGAAGCTGCAATTCGACGAAGCCAAGGACACTGCACTCAACGTGTGGTTCGACAATGATGCTTGGCGTGTTGTGGACGCCTCAGAAGCTGGTCCCGGTGAGATCATTCCTGCTCGTTTCTTGCAAAGGTGGAAACCCACCAAGACCGGGAAGAAAGCCAATGCCCGGGTCATCATCCAAGGATTTCGCCATCGTGATGTCCTCGAGAACACCTTGGATCGAGAAAGTCCCACCTTGTCGATGACTGGCAGAAGCTGTATCTACTTGGTCGCTGTCCACAAACCCTGGAAGCTTTGGACTGCTGATGTGAAAAGTGCCTTCATGCAAGCTGATGAGATCGACTCTTCGACCAGGATCTACATCCAACCGTCTGCCGACATGCGAAGACGACTTGAACGAAAGATTGGCCTCAAGCCATGGGAAGTCATGAAAGCAACGCGTCCAGCCTTTGGTGATGTACGGGCACCATGCCAATGGAACAAGACAGCGGACACCTACCTTCGGGAGTCTCTTGGCTTGGTACCTCGTCCGCTGGACAGCTGTGTCTATTTGAGCTTGAGGTTGGCCCACAACGAGGACGACCCCTTCTGTTGTTTTGACTGGAACGGTCGCCCACACATTGTTGATGGCCTTCTTGGCTTGCATGTCGATGATTTTGTTGGCTGTGGTGAGGGAGTTCACAATCCCTCTGACTTTGACAACGAAGAGCTCGATCCTGCAACTTTCGCTGGCCGTTTGCATTTGCTTGTAATTTTCCACTTGGATTGGCCTCCAAAAAAAGACCCCCACAAGTCCGGTTCGACCTGCTTGAAATGCAGGTTTTGAAGGGGGAAAACCGGACTTGTGGGCGTCTTTTTTCACAGGCCAATCCAAGTGGAAAATTAGCAGCATTTGCTTTCCAAGCGCTTCAAGTTTGGTTCATGGGATTTTGGACAGTCTTCAAAGATTGTTTTTTGTGGTGCACAATTGGAACAATCCATGGATTATATGTCACTGAGTGTTTCTCTTCGTGACTATGTCGCCAAAGTGAAGCCCATCTCCATCAACAAGCATCGCAAGTCCAATCCCAATGACCCTTGTGATGCTGCAGAGCACCGACAATTCAGAGCCTTGATTGGAGCACTCGCTTGGCCGGCAAATCAGTGTATGCCGGAACTTTGCGCCTCCATCAGTTTGCTGCAAGCTTCAGCCAGTGGACCGTGTGTGAAAGATTTGTTGGAAGCAAACAAGGTGTTACGATTTGCCAAGGAAGCTGCTCAGCAACACCTCTTTCGAATCAGGTCTCATGGAAGCTTGGCTGATCTATGTCTTGGCGCCTACACCGACGCCAGCTGGGCAGTACGCCCTGACGGCAGCAGTCAGGGAGGCATGGTCATTTTTGCTTGCAACCACCAAGAGATCGAAAGCCATCAGCTCATGGCACTCACCATCGTGCACTGGAGCTCAAAGAAGTTGGCTCGTGTTTGCAGGTCAAGTCTGTCAGCAGAGGCTCAGGCCGCAGCAATGACGGTCGATGAACTTGAATGGACAAAGATCTTCCTGTCCCTCATCACTGACTTGAACCTGGACATCCAAGGCAACGATGCTTTGAGAAAGTTTGGAACTTCACCCCTGGCAACGGACGCCAAAGCATTGTTCGATGCCGCGCAGGCAAAAGCTTCAGGTTTCAGATTGAGTGAAAGAAGGACGGCAATCGAAGTTGCCATCATTCGACAAAGAATGGAAGCTTTACAAGGCCGTTGGTTCTGGGTGAATTCGCTTCAGATGATCGCCGACGGTTTGACAAAGCCAACAGCTAAGGACGCCTTCCTTCAGATCCTTGCGCGTGGCACACACCAGCTGAAATACAATCCTGAGATTGTTGCTGCAAAGAAAGTTTCAGTTGAAGAGCGTGAAGCTGAACGGTTGCGCCACGAACAGTTTGCTCAGGAGCTCGACGACCACCACGCCTTTGTGAATGAGGAGATCGATGAGGCCAAAAAGAAAGAACTTGGTTTGTGTCTTTTGGAAGGCTGCTCAAAACCATGTGACAAGAGCAATGAGAAGAACTTGTTTTGCAGCCGCCGCCATTTTTACACTCACCAAAGTCGCACTCAAGGCCGCCAAGACACTTGGCACCGAGCTGCACTTGCCGCTGCTGCGACCTTGATGTTGGAAGAGCTGCCCATGGCTGAAGCTGCTGAGATAGGAGGTGGCAGTCAGGTCGTGGTGGATTGGAAATTCCTGCTCACCATTGGTGTCATGTTTCTTTTGGCATGTGTTGGCGTAGAGGTCATCATGTACCGGGCCTATTTGTTTGTGAAGGACCCTGTTTTGTTTTTCCTCAGAGAGCGTGTGATTGTGAACAACCCCGCTCCTGCGAATGACGACGCCTCAAGCCATGTCGCCGCTGAAGAGCATGAGGCCCTCGAGAATGACGGCCCCATTTTGAATGCCCTCACGCTCGCTCGCCGCCCTGGTCTGGATAGTGGGAGCACGAGCACCAACACCGACTCAGAGATGAGCCAGTCGGAGTGGGAAAGATGGAGTGCTTTGAAGATGCAAGTCCAGCATGAGCGTGCTCAGCAACCTTGGAGGCTGCTTTTGGCCGCTTTGGATGACCGGGCAGGAGACCTTGATCCTGCCACTCGTGCTGCTTTGACTGCTGAGTCATTCACGACTCAAAGGTGGCGAAAGTTCTGCGAGCTGCTGAAAGAAGACTCGTCCCAGAACTACACGGACGAGCAAATCAAGCAGTGGCATAGGATGTGGAACGACAACCTTTGTTTCTTGGCTGATGTCAACAAGAAGATTGTGAGCCAGCGCCGACGACTGGCTGAATTGGAAGAGAGAGACCACTTTCGCGAACAAGTTCGTCTGGGTGAGAGAAGTGACATGATGAGCCAGACCCCGCTCACATGTGTGACAGGTGAAAAGCCTCGAAAGCTACCAGCCCGAGAACATGGAGCTTGGCTGCACGCCAACGAGTTCTCTGGAAATGTTTGAATGTGGAATGGCCCCCTTTTGAATTTCTTCAAGCGTACACCGGTAAGTCCATTGCAAAAAGCTTTGGCCCGTGTCAATGTGCGAATGCTCATTCATGAATTTTACATGTCAGGATTTGCAATGTGTGTTTTCGCCGCATCCGCGGCCATCTCATTTGTTCGACGCCTTTAGGGCCCTTGAGACCACCCGTGGCTCGCCACCTTGGAGAAACCGTGCGTTGCCTTCGTGCACCACCTTCGTTTGTTGTTAGCACGTGGACCTCGAGAGCTACGTCGCTTTGATAGTCGGCGATGGGAAAGTCGTCTGAAGGCCTTGTCCAGGCCCAGAATACCGAGAAGAGAAAGAAAGGTGTTTGCGCGCAAATGGCCAAATGCTTAGATGAGGGCGAGCTTACCAGTCATGGTGCTGCATCCCTGAAGGGGAGATTAGGCTTTGCTGAGGGGCAGTTGTTCGGACGAGCGACGAGGAGACTCATCAACGAACTGGGGCAGCATGCACTCCGTCCCCCAAAGAACAACAAGATTTCAGAGCCGACAAGGCGCGCCTTAGAGATGGTGGCGGATCAAGGGCTCACCGCTGCGCCGCGAATAGCTGACTCAGACACAAGCGAGGTGTACTACATCTTCACCGATGCAAGCTTCAATAGTGAAACCAAGAGCGGAGGAATCGGAGGTGTTCTGGTCAACGGCAACGCTACTGTTGAGCAGTGGTTTGGAGACACGGTCACCAAAGAATTCTGTAAGTCGTTCATGGCTGAGGAGCAGAAGCAGGCAATAGGTGAGTTAGTTAGAGTCCTTTGCAGTGTTGGTGGCGCTTCACCTTTGGGGGAGAAAGCTGGCTCGCAAACACGTTGTTATCTTTCTCGACAATGAGGGGTGCAGGTATTTTATCCTCAAGGGATACGCCGCCAACAGAAATCTCCAGAGCATTGTGCACAACATTGCCAAGCAGCAAGTGGACCACTGCATCCTCCCATGGTATGCCAGAGTTCCAACAGAATGCAACTTGGCCGACTTTCCTTCTCGATCGACCCCGCATGAAATGCTGCCTGAGGCCTTGAGGGCTAGGCTTCCAAGCTTCGAAGGCATGTGGTCAGATAAGAGCTGTCTTTGAGAAGGCCCAAAGAAGGGGGAGGCCAGGAGGGCCTTCAGATAAGACCTTGCTATCCCCCGTTGGAAAAGAAACTGCTGAGCTTTTTCTTGTGTGCACTGATTTGAGTTGACTGTCATGTTTGTAATGAATGGTGCGAGAAAGAAATAATATGGGCAGTTGGCGAAGTCAACAAACTATTTATTTCTTAAGAGCTTCCTTGTTTTGCAGTGATGGAAAACAAACTTGCATTCATTCAATCATACCTCTTTGGTTCCAGGGTAGTGGAGGGTGGGTTTCCGCTTTTCTTTGTCTGACAAAATTTATGTTATGCAAACGCAGGCATGTCTGTGTGGATTTGCCCTCGCCAGGCAGGGTGGATCCCTTTTCGCGTGATTTCACTAAGAACTTGTGAGACCTGGAATTGATTTGGTTTGATGATGATTTTGGCTCCTCACCAGCCCTGCTTGAGCAACGAGACTGAACTTGTCCTCGCTGGAGGTTGGCGAGGCTGGATGTTGGTGATGTTTTCCTACTCACTGACGTGAATGCATAGAATCACTCATGTTTGAGGTTCTTCCACGGGGGGACCGCCCCAAGTTATTGAGAGCCACCAGCCAGTCCCATCGGTAGTGTGTGATGTTAGGAGGAGGATCTGTGAGACGGTCCGCGTTTCCGAGGCCATGGCAGTCCTCTTTGTCATGGCGCTGCTCGGCTTGGCCGATGCAGATGGATCCAGCCTGCTTCAGACGAGATATTCACCTGGTGAAAGTGAGAGACTTGGAATTGATGAAGATGTTGCAAAACACTCCATGCATGGAATCTCCATATACATTGAACCCAAAACATCCACCCAAAAGTCCTTAAAATATGGTAAATGGAGTGTTTGGGCCGGGGTTTGTCTCAAAGAGAGTGGGCCTGCTTACCAATCATCAAATTGGAGAGTGATCGACTTTGAAAGGGAGTTTCATCAAATGCATTCAGCCCATGAACGCATATGAAAGCGCAAGTTTCGCTGGGTGAGAGTGAGACAAGTGGAATTGATTGGCAGAGATGGTTCCGAAACAACCACCCAAGTATATAGTTATGTCCCATGGACACCAATGCACCCCGGATGCGTGCTTCTTTTTATCCCGTTCACTTTCAAGCAACCACCCCGTCTTGGGCTCTTTCGCACAAGAAATTGAAAAATGTTTCCCGACTTGTCTCGGAGTTCAACAGTTCCCCCCCGCACTGTCCACTGGGTGCACCGGACGAATGCCAAGGAAGGATCTGAAAGGATGCTTGTCCTTCATCCACATTCCAAAGACCATGGGTGGTTCCATCGAGTGTTTGGGCGGCAACTGGCGGGTAAAGTAGTGGTACACCAGCAGTTCCATGCTTGGGCGGTTCTTCAATTAGGATGTTCTACGTACACTGGGGCAATGCCCGCCGCCCTGACATAAACCATCAGGTGGTGTTTGGAATGGCTGACTTGGAAGGTGAACCCTAGCTCTCTCCCGGCTCCGTGTTTTTCTAAGCAGATCATTTGATTCGGTGCGATCATGTCTTTGATTAGCTTTGCTTGATATGGTTTTTCATGGCGATTCGATACCAGTGCGGGTGTGCCACCAAGAAGCACTGCGTCGCCGTCCCAGGTTGGCTCGGCTTCGTGCTGCCGGCCTACTATGGACAAACACTAACTATTGCCTGGGACGACTTGAAGCGGCGGGGCATCATCGAGAAGAACCTGGAGCCCAATGGGGCACATGCCACTTGATTTCGGCCTATGACGAATGATAACTCAATTTTCGAATGTTTTGTTGATCAACCACCTGAAGACGATGTAGCTCCGTGCGATGGGTCAAATCTTTTTCTCAGATAGCGAGGGTAGCGAGAACAATGGGGTTCTAACTTCAAGCATAGGAAGAGGTGTGCGTGCTGGTGCCACTGCAGGGCACTGCTGCCAGATGTTTGTGGCAGTGTGAGCTTTTGAGCCTGCATGTTGGTGCTGCTGGAGGGTGCCGCTGCTGCTGCCAGATGTTCGTGGCAGTGTGCGCTTTTGGGGGCTGGGCAGGTCTAAGATTCAAGCTAGGGTGCTGGCGCCCCTGCAGGGTGCCAGATGCGTGTGGCGTCTGTGGCTTGAGCCTGTGTGCTGTTGCCGCTGTACAGGTGCTGCTCCAGGTTGCTGCTGCGGGATGTCGGTGGCCGTGTGCTCTGTGGAGCGTGGGTGCTGGTGCCGCTCGCTGCACACTGCCGCTGCAGGGTGCATAGATATGGCGCTTTGAAGATTGTCAACTTCAAACAGGTCAGCCTGGGTCGTAGAAGCCGAAACAGACAAAACATCTGGAAGGCCCTTATCTTTATTCCTAAAAGCAGCTATTGGGGTTCTTACTGCAAGTCCTGACTTGTAGTCCCTCACAAGGTTTTGATGGTCACGCGTGGAACGAACAATTTTAACATTCTCCTGTGAGATTGTTGGCACGGCCAGGCGATGCTAACATCCCGTGCTCACACGTGCAAGTGAACGAGCACCATGGTATGCATTGCTCCTTGGCCTGAACGAGCTGAGTTTTGTTTTTTTAAAGGACATTTACCTGTGCTTGTCCAGCAGATTTTTCTCCAGATTTCCTCTCCAGTTGTCGCTGCTTTTTCTTGATCCAAAATCAGCCCAGGCTCGCAACCTGACCTTTTCAATGACACCTGGTGCTCTGCTTGGCATTTTCCTCCGAGTTTTGATCCACAGCTGGTGAGCTACTACGCCGCCACTTGGACAAATTGTCCTGGCAAGAGACCCCAAACAGTGTTATGTAGACATGCAAGGGTGAATGAGCGAACTTACGCACGGAACATCTACCCGAAGCTTCGATCATTGGATCAATCTTCGATTCTGCCGCAACTGCGGTTCTGATCCCCAGCTCGGGGTTCCAGATCAAATCTTGTAGGATTGATGTTTGGAGCAGATCAGTGGACGGTCAGTTCAGGCAGTCTCCGACCAGCGGACCATCGGAGGATTGAGCATAGGAAGAACTGGCCGCCTTTTATGACTTTGTTTGGTTTTCCTCCTGCAGCTTCCTGCTTTTTTAGGTTTAATGTTTCTGCAGTTCTGAAGTATGTGAGTCAACTTCAAAAGAGAACACATGGGATAACAGATGTGGGAACACGCGAGCGAACGAGAGCACAGTTTGAGAGCGTGCGCCTGCCAGCACACACGCAGACACGAGAGCGCACGAATGAGTGCGCGCGTGTGTAAGAAAATGAGTGCATGAGGACGCCTGTGAGAACGCGCAGATGAGAACACACATGAGAGCACTCATACATGAGTGTGTGTGCGTATGAGACAGGCAAAGCACCATATGGCCCCACACTTGGCCCCACAGGTCAGCACATGTTTGAGTGAGCGTGCTTATGGGAGCACGCGTAAACGAGCGTGCCTGTGAGAGGACACACTCTGACATTGGTTTGCTGTTAACTCAATTCCCACGTTGAGAAGGAAGGTGAGGGAACCGCAGGGTGAAAAGGTCCGCGCACTTGAAATGTTGAACAATGGTTGTACTCAGCTGGCAAACTCTCGCGCGACAGGCGGCAACTCACGAGCGGCAGAGAACTGCGGTGGGAAACCTGTTGTGGGGAGTAGCATGAAGGACCATGGAAGCAAACCGACAGTGAAAAAGCGTGGTCAACAGTTCCTTGGCAGGTACAAGAGCAGGTGTCCCAGCTCTCTTCCAACTTATTTCCGTAGCTTCGTTGGCACGGACGGGAAATCAGTCTCCGTGCCCCCTGCATACGTGGTGGAAAAGAAAGTGAGGCGTTGGACACACACACGGTGCCGCTTTGCGGCGCTCTCGCGGTGAACCTGAATAGATACCTAAAAAGCCTTAGAAACAAAAGAAAGAAACACAGAAAGAGCAGCGCTAAGAGGGCAAGAGAGAAAGATAGGAGTAGAAAAAAGTGAATACTTAGCCCTTGACTGGGGCAGGGAAACGAGCCTCAAGAACAACCTAAAAAGCCTGAGAGAAAGCCCAAGAAACGACCGAAAGCGTAAGAAAGAAAGGAGGGGCAGGGAGGGGGTGTATGTAGCATGTGTGTGTCCGTGTGTGTGTGTGTATGACTACTTAGCACCCTAGAGTTACTGACTACTTAGCCGATGCGAATTAAATGCAATAGTTAGGGAGCGGGACTTTAGTCTTATACCGCCCGGGTAGAGAAGACTAGAACAGGAACAACAAAGGGAAAGGCACCGACACAAGTGTGTCGAGTACCATTTCCCTGTGTTGCCCTGATTAGGTGGGGAGTAGAACCCGGCGGGGGGGGGAGGGTAACATGCCTGACCTCAAGTGGAATTCCGTTTTTTAGCCCGGCGGCTATGGTTGTTCACAGTGAAAGCCCGGCGGCTCTTTGTTCAGACAATTCAGTAGTGAAACAAAGTCAGTTAAGAAAATCCAACGAGTGGTGGAAACAAAGAATCAGTGACACGAATTCCGGAATGATTGCAGCGCCTCCTTGCGGAGGATCACACCCAGCACCCAAGTGGGACGGCTGAGCGGTTCACACTCTGACATTGGTTTGCTGTTAACTCAGTTCCCACGTTGAGAAGGAAGGTGAGGGAACCGCAGGGTGAAAAGGTCCGCGCATTTGAAATGTTGAACAATGGTTGTACTCAGCTGGCAAACTCTCGCGCGACAGGCGGCAACTCACGAGCGGCAGAGAACTGCGGTGGGAAACCTGTTGTGGGGAGTAGCATGAAGGACCATGGAAGCAAACCGAAAGTGGAAAAGCGTGGTCAACAGTTCCTTGGCAGGTGCAAGAGCCGGCGTCCCAGCTCTCTTCCAACTGATTTCCGTAGCTTCGTTGGCACGGATGGGAAATCAGTCTCCGTGCCCCCTGCATACGTGGTGGAAAAGAAAGTGAGGCAGAACCCTGAGGAACAGGGGTTGACACACACACACATACATTAAAATATATATAGAGCCCATGCATTTGAGCGCATGCATGGGAGAACCCATGCAAAAGCACACAGACACACACACACACACTTAGCATGAGTGCTCTGCCGAGCGTGACTTCAGACAATTCGCGGTGAGCATTAGCACTTTAGCGTTACTGCATGTTACTGCAATTCAGACCTTGACTGAAAGGAATTGCTGGGTCGGTCGAACAGAATGTTTGAACAGTGCATTGAAATTACTGTAGCACTTTAGTGTTACTGCAGATTAACCTTGACTAAAAGAAATTGCTGAGTCGGTCGAACAGTATTGTTTAACCAACGATGCATGGGTGAAATCTGCAGGTACGCAGTTGGACGTCTCCAACTGTATCACAGGTGACTGATGAGCGTCTTTGTTAGCGCCGGTCTCATCAGCACCCCCGGTGCCCCCTGCTGCTGCACAAGGTGGAAACTCAGCGAAGTAGAGTAGAGTAAAGTAGATTAGTGCCCCGTTGGAACGGGGGTTGACGCACACAAGAAGCCGAAACGGCGCATCTAGCAAGATCCAGCGCAAGCGCTTTTTGCTGGAAGGCCGCAACGCTGCAGCGCAAAGTGTGCTTTTTCTGTTTCTTCTTGCCAGGGGTGTGGAGGGGTGTTCGGGCGTGCGTTGACTAAACGAGCCTGGATGTCACCTAACAAGCCTGAAGAAAAGAACAAGAAAACACGAAAAAGCGAAAAAGCAAGGAAAGAAGAGAAAGGTGCGGGGGGGGGCAGGGCGTGCGTTGACTAAACGAGCCTGAAGGTCACCTAACAAGCCTGAAGGAAGAAACAAGACAAACGAAAAGGCAAAGGAAAGACAAGAAAAGGTGCAGGGGTGTGGGGTGGGGGGGACGGGCCCATAGGCACTGGCCGAGAAGCCGAAATCGGCGCATATAAGGTGAATACTTAGCAGAACCTAGGAGTACTTAGCAGTCTAATTAAAACTTGGAAAGCTTCCGTGGTGAAACAAATTCAGTGAGTTCTGCAGCTTGGTTCAGGGTGGATTTCAGTAAGCTCTGCAGCGGTCCTTCACGAGTGCCGTGTGAAACACTTCCATCAATCACACTTCGAGCATCAAAATTCAGCAGGGAAATTCAGTCAGAGGTTTAAAGAGGACTACACATCGATTCTCCTGTAGAAAGGAGGTGAAGATCAACGCAGTAACGGCGCCCCGTAGGGTTCACACAGCTTACCACAGTGGGAAGAAGCTGCGAAACACACTTAGGATGAGTGCTCTGCCGAGCGTGGCTTCAGACAATTCGCGGTGAGCATTAGCACTTTAGCGTTTCTGCAATTTAGACCTTGCCTAAAAGGAATTGCTGGGTCGGTCGAACAGAATGATTGAACAGTGCATTGAAATTAGCACTTTAGTGTTGCTGCATTGTAGAGCTTGACGAAAAGAAATTGCTGAGTCGGTCGGAAAGTATTGTTTAACCAACGATGCATGGGTGAAATCTGCAGGTACGCAGTTGGACGTCTCCAACTGTATCACAGGTGACTGATGAGCGTCTTTGTTAGCACCGGTCTCATCAGCACCCCCGGTGCCCCCTGCTGCTGTACAAGGTGGAAACTCAGCGAAGTAGAGTAGAGTAAAGTAGATTAGTGCCCCCTTGGAACGGGGATTGACACACTTATGATTTTGCGTACTCAAAGCGGTGCCACACGCCAGCCTAAGTAAAAACCGCCTAAGGTGCCAGGTACAAAACATCACCAAATGACTTCCTTCAAAGTGACGAGAATCCTACAAACCTCCAAGCTCAAACTCCAAGCTCAAAACAATTGCGTGACTGCCGATGCAAACAGGTGCGATGGCTGGAATTCTTGTTCCAGTTGCAAGCAGGGCCCACAAGGAAATTACTCTGGTAAAAGTGCAGGTACGTCATCAGGCGTCCCTGATGATATCCTGGGATCGTATGAGGAGCTTCGTTGGATGGAGCCTCATACGTCCTCTCCATCCCCCTGCTAAAAACAATTCAAAAAGAATCCCTGTGACTACAAGGGGCGCCCCCCCGAGGGGGGGCCAAAAAGGCTGAGGTCAGGACGTATGTGCATGTGTGCGCGCGCGAAAGTCAAAACGATGAAGACATGACAAGAGGACGGGACGGGACAAAGGTGCATGTGGTCGTGATGAAAGGGGAACCAGGTGCACAGGGACAAGCAATGAAACACACCTCATTAAATTTCCGATAAAGACCTGGGCCACCTAAAACCAACGTTTTCAGTACGTGTGTAGTTGTGCACGTACACGCTAAGGCCGGGACCGATGTGCGCGCAAACGAAAGGAAGGATGAGATGAAAGACATGAAGACAGGAGGACATGAAAGAAGAGAGGAGAAAAGAGGTGTGTAAAGGGGAACAAGGAACCGCCTAAAAAGACCTCGCCTCGTTTGCATGTATACGCTGTGTGTGCACGTAAGAATGGGACAGGTTCCAACGAACCTCAAAAAGCTTTGACCGCTGTGGTCACCATGTGCCCTGCCAACGTGGCTGGCTGCTTAGACCGCTGCGGTCACGTAAAGGCATGAGCCAGCTTGTAATGCAATAACCCAAACCTTGGCAAATAACTTTGGGCGCAGGGGCAAAGACAAACACCCGTTCGACGGGACCACAGGGGGCACTCCGCGGGCTCACCCTGGACTCCCAGTGGGAGAGACACACTTATGTCTTTGCGTACTGAACTGAAAGCGGTGCCACACGCCAGCCTAAGTAAAAACCACCTAAGGTGCCAGGTACAAAACACCACCAAATGACTTCCCTCAAAGTGATGAGAATCCTACATACCTCCAAGCTCAAACTCC